TAGAATTTTAAAAATTAACGTAAATACCCTTATGTTTATTTATTTACTAAACACCCTTATAATAAAATATTAAAAGTTAACAAAAATACCTCAATCCACTCATAAATACGGACAGCCGGCCACCATCGTCGGAGGGTAGCTGGAGTTGCCTTATCGGCGCATGACCGGCTCAATCTTGCTGGTCGTGTGCCATATGACCTTTTCCGGTTAGATCTACCATGGATCTGGCCGATATGACCTTTTCCGGTCAGATCTACCATGGATCTGGCCGAAAAATGCCAGATCTGCGGCTAGATTTAGCCATTGACGGCTAGATCTGGCTGCATTTGATCATCAATAACTACCAAAGATATGACTGTCGTTGATGGTCAACGATGACCATATCTTGGTTGTCGTTGACGACTGTTAATATCAAAGATCTAGCTGTTGACAGTTAGTGCACTATCAGCCAGATTCAGTTGGTAGTGCGCCATTAAACCAGATTTCGACCTGCTTCTGGCAATGGTGGTTAAAATCTGGTAAATTTAAATTATTAGGGTATTTTTGTTAATTTAAAAAAAATTAAAAATTATTTAGTTAAATTAATAAATTTAAGGGGATTAAAGGAAATTAAATAATTTTGAAAACTATTTTGAAAATAGATGAAATAAAGGTAACGTTTTTTTAGGAAAACTTTAAGAAAACTAGATATGTGAACCAAAGGAGCCTTTATTATTATATTTTATCAAACCTTGAAAAGTATTTGACTACTTTTCAAAATTTGTGCACTTTCTTGATTTCAAATCAAACTACAAAAGGTACCAACCACTAAAAATGGAGGCGTTCAAATGTTGCGCGCGTTAGCAAAACACGATAGGTTCCAGCTAAGATATGCTACTACTGAGTCGTGCACCCCAACTGCCCCAAACTTGGAACCACGTCAACGAACTGACCCCACCAAAATTAGTTGGTTCCCGCTAAGGAGACTCGACTCTAACTCAACTCTGCGCCGGGGTGTGCAGTGCGCGCACGCACGGTTTGCCACGTGGCAAGTGTAGACGTCGTGGTATTTTATTAAATTTTTTTTTTTTTTTTTTTTTGAAGCGGAATTATGGGCCGGCCCAAGACGGCACGAGGTTCGTGTCGTTGTGATTCGGTTTTTCTAATGACGTAAAATTACGACCAAATCCCTGAATCAGTGATCCAATATCACGCTCAGTTCACGTGCACATCTGACGGTTATGATTCTCTCCAGCTTTTTTGATCTCATATTTTCAGTACTGTACTGTACATGTTTTGTTTTCTTGTCTGCAACCTTGCCGGCTAGCTCTAACTTTTAACTGACATTTGTTCTTTATAATATCAGTTCGATAATTTTATTAATATGTTTTAAGAAGTCATTATAACTATTTACATACCATTTAATATATATGATATTTTGAACGAAATTTATAAGAGTTTAATATCATAATTATTTTCATATTAATACGATATAATTAGAGTTACAATAATATCATACAAAATGATAATATTTACGAGGATTTTTTTGACACTATTTGATTTTATAGATATATTATTCATACAAAACATTTTTTATTTAAATTCAAATTTTAAAAAATACGAACGTTTACATCTGAGAATAAATATATAAAGGGAAATTGATATAAAATCCCGATTTTGTCTTATTTTCTTGAATTATATTTGAACATAACCCATAAGAACAAGAACTTAAATAGAAATGATGAGGTTTAATTAACTCTAATTACATAATTAATGTGGGTGGCAATAGAAGTTTCTTAATAACTACAAGATGAAAGCAAAGAGACAAATCATGAATTAATTAAACCTTAATTAATTGTATAATTAAATGAAGCCAGTGAGATACCATAATATATATACAAAATATAATCCGTACTATCAATATCTTTTTTTTTTTTTATCTTTATTAATTAATTAATTTAATTTTGAAGAAATTGTACTACAGCTTGCTTGAGTTGACAAAGTAAACTCACAAAAATACAAAAATAAAACAAAAAAGTTGAGTACTCTTTTGTTTGATATTCAGAAACCATATTTGTCTTTTACTTTAAAGTATAATTCATAGTAGTTGCAACGGTTAGAATTATGATTTAGAGTTTGAGGTTTAGGGTTTAAATCTATTCATAAACATTGGTATAATCCAAGACCATTATTTATTCACCTTTTGAAGTTTGTAGAGTTCAACGAGAGTATTAATTTCATAATCGAGTTGGCAAAGTGAGTTCCAAAGATTTTTATTAATTGATGCAAAATTTCAGTTAAAGGTTTTTTTCTATCGGAGATTGCAGGATTTTGTCTTTTAACATTAAGATCTTAGATGTTAGTATTAATCGTCGTCAATAAATGAAAATCCTGATTTAAAGTTTTGCTTTTTTTAGGAATTAAAGGGATATTAGTATAAATTAAACATAAATATAGAGACAGCTAACAAATTAAAAATAGAAATTGATTGTCCTTTTAGGTAATTTCATCTTTTCAATGGGAAACGGGTTTATGCATGCCATGACATTTGATTTTCTGTTACCAACTACGCGGATTACTACCTACTATTTCTATACAAGGAGTAGTGGAATCACGTATAGCCTGACATGGGTATTCTTTTTAATGACCAAAATACCCTTTTTGTTTTCTCAAAACACTTACAATTAAATTACTTTTTAATTAAGAGACTAGTGACAACTAATCACTTATCTTTAAGCCTTTAATGAATTTGTTTAATAATTTTAATCTCAATGTTTTACAAGTAATATGTGAAATAATCAAAACAATTCACTTTCAACGAAAAATGTATTTACTCTTGTAAATCATCAAATTTCGTTTTGTTAGCTTAAAACGCTTTGGTATAATCAGAATCACTTGAATTAAGAAGGCAAGTTATAACTAATTACTCATCTTAAGCTTCAAACGAATTTGTTTAATGATTTTACTGTTGATATTTTACTCGTATTAGGTAGAATCAATAAGCGAGTGTATACGGACAATAAACCTCACTTTCTTGTGTAGAATGATCAAAATCATTATTTTTTAACAAGAAATTTAATGTTGTATAAATATATGTATGTTTGCAAATGAAAATTGAAAACTTATATTTTAGGTGTACTCAAGATTATTAGGTTTCTAATATCGGACTGTTATTTCATCTAAACTAAAATTTAACAGATGCTTTATAAAAGAGATCAAAACCTTCTCTAACGTTTGATATCGTGTTCTTAAAATATATGTTGTCCATAAAACCAATTATTAATATATGAATTTGGAGGGCATGGTTAGTTTCAAATATTAACAAAAAGGGTATTATGGTCATTTCAAGATGTACATACAGTATGACTAAAACACAAGCAGACATTATGTTATATAAAGTTTTGCTTTTTTAGAAATTAAAGGGATATATATATATAAATTGTTGTTCATATAAGATTAGTATAAATTAAACAAAAATATAAAGACAGCTAACAAATTGAAAATAGAAATTGATTGTCCTTTTAGGTAATTTCATCTTATAAATGGGAAACGGGTTTATGCATGCCATGACGTTTGATTTCCCGTTACGAAATTCCAATTCCAACTGCCCGGATTCCTACCTGCTAGTTTTTAGACAAGCAGTAGCGGAATGAATCACATATAGCCTTAAAATGGGTATTCTTTTTAATGACCAAAATGCCCTTTTTGTTTTCTCAAAACACTTTCAATTAAATCTCGTATAATCACTTGTAATTAAGAGGTTAGTGATAACTAATCACTTATCTTTAAGCCTCTAATGAATTTGTTTAGTAATTTTAATCTCAATGTTTTACAAGTAATATGTGAAAGGAAAGAGTGTATACGGACTACTGGCTCCCGTTTTAATCTGCAAAATAATCAAAACCATTCACTTTTAACAAAAAATTTTACATTGTATAAATATATTTACACCTGTAAATCATCAAATTACGCTCTGTTAGCTTGAAACACTTTCATATAATCACAATCATTTAAAATAAGAAGACAAGCTATAACTAATTACTCATCCTACGCTTGTAATGAATTTGCTTAACGATTTTACTATTGATGTTTTACTTGTATTAAGTAGAATAAACGAGTGTATACGGAGTATAGACTATAAACCTCAATGTAATATGTAGAATGATCAAAACCATTTTATTTTAACCGAAAATTTTGTGTTGTATAAATAAATGTGCGCGTGTAGACGAAAACTTATATTTTTGGTATACTCAATATTATTAAGTTTCTAATATCAGACTATTATTTCATCTAAATTAAAATCTAACCAATGCCTGATAAAAGATATCAAAGCCTTCTCTAACATTGGATATCGTGTTTTCAAAATATATATTCTCCATAAATTCAATTATTAATATATGAATTTGGAGGGCATGGTTAGTTGCAAATATTAACAAAAAGGGTATTATGGTCATTTCAAGAAGGAAGATGAGAAAAGATAATGTGAATTCAAGATGTACATACAGTATGACTAAAACACAAACAAACATTATGTTATATAATCTAATAATCCAATTTGGGAATCGAGGAACCACCCTTTCTATTACTTTATTTACTCTTGCCTTTTGTCATACAAGGATTCATTTATTTAATATTTCTATAATATCTTTCTAATTATTTGCTCTTGTCCAAATTTCCTCTCAAAACCTCTCCTTTTTCTCCCCTAAGGTTTTACAAAACTGACAATTTATCCAATTCAGGTATCTGAAAAGACAATTTATTCTCTATTGTAGATGTTCCAATTAGGGTTTAGTGTTTAATTCATCGATGATGATGATGGAAACCCTAAAAGAACTACGACGATAGAGGGTGAATTATTTTTTTAGAGACCTTAAGGGGGCAAAATGTTATTTAATAAAACCGTAAGGGAGTAAGTGTAATATGATCTTAAACTGATTAAACTACTATTTTTCCCTTTCAGTCTTGGCTATATTTAAGTCTCCTCTCTACCGTCTTTCTCTTCCTGAAAACAAAAACAAAGACAACAACACACCACAACTCCCTTCTCCTCCTCCTCCTTCTTCTTCTCTCTCAGAAAAGAAAACACTTCCAGAAAACACTTTCCGAAAATACTTTCCAAAAACACTTTCCAAAAACACTTTCACCCTTCATTTCCCATGGCAGAAACCAGCATCTTCAGGAACCAAAACCAGCCTTTCAACATCTCACACTCAGCACCGCCTCCTCTCTCCATGCACAGAGATTCCCAGGCGATATCGAAACCAAAGCCGAAAATCCGAATAATTCACATATTCGCCCCGGAAATCATCAAAACGGACGTAGAAAATTTCCGGGAGCTCGTGCAGAGACTCACCGGAAAGCCGGCTCACGATCTTCAACAAAAGAAAAAGTCTTGCAACAAGATGAAGAAACAAAGAGCTCCAAGAAAAGATCAAGAAAATCCAAGAACGAATAATAACAATTCGAGGAGCGTTCATGAAAATCAGTTGCAGGAGGGGAAGAAAATGGCGAGAAGTGGTTGTTCTTCAGGGTTTCATGGAGTTAAAGAAGAAGAAGAAGAAGAAGTAGAAGAAGGAGTTATGTGGAGCAACAATGGCGGATATTTGAATGGATTCTCAGATTTTGAAGGGTTTATGCATGAACTTGGAGAATTTCCATTGATGCCTCTGCATGCCTTTGAAGAAACTCAATTTGCATAATTTTTTTCTTTTTTTAAAATTTTTGGTTTAATTTTCAGATGAATGTGTTTAACTAATTAATTAATTTTATCTGTTTGATCTTAATTTCTGTCTGATTAGTGAATTTAATTAATTTAAATTAAATTAATTGTGTTCTTTGTGTTGAGAATGTGGCAGTGAATCCTTAATTGTCATAATTTCTGAGAAAAAAATATATAGTTTGGCAAACCAAACAAGAACGTGCAAATTAAAAAATAATGAAAATAATTAATTAATAGATTAAATAATAAATTAGTGCATTGCTTTTCTTGCAAGACTTAATTTAATAACCAGATAATAAATTTTAATTAAAGCTATAGTCGTCTCCCACTAATCATGTTTAATAGGGTAAACTTATATCGATTGGCTTCTCAAAATATTTGTTTCATTTAATAAATAAAAAATGGCAAGTTGAGATAATAAATAAGGAATACTTAAATTTTATTTGGGCTCTTAATTAAGATAAAGAACATAAAATTAGTTTAATTTAGTAATTTTTTATCAGTAACCTTAGTTAAATTCAATTTAAATAAGTTATCATATGAGTCGTACAATCATATTTTATAATATGGAACAGATAATTTATAAATATATTATAAATCAAAAGGTTATATATATATATATATGATATTTCATTCATATATACAATATTAGACTTATACTGTTACGAGTCATGTGAAAATAACTATTATCGGTCATCTCTCGATAATATAATTAATAATGAATAATTGTCTAGATAAAATATGTTATTTAAGTACTGGAAATAGAGAAGATATGGTTGGAATGACATGTTTGATGGTGATAGGTAAATTAAAAATAGCAATAATTGATAAATAAATTAAATAATAAAAATATAAAATTATTTACAGTTGCAAAATTGAGCTTCTCAATTACGAAATACCAAGATTAGGGATAAGGGTTAACAAAAATAATTGACTTTTAAGCATAAGCAGAGTCAACATTTTTGGTAAACTTAAATTGCAAATTGTAATATTAATATTAATTAATTAACTGGACGGTAAGAAGAACCGACTAAATCCCCTATTACAAAAATTAAAATTTCATCAGGATGACAGATGATTTTTAAAAAACCCTACATCAGATTGAGATCATATATTTATTTTCTGTAATAATAATAATAATAATAAAACAAAATATTTATTTGTTCTAGATAAAGATTGGAATTTACAATGCTCATTCGTATTTTGAGTTATTCAACAAATTTTGACTATTAATTACATTTTTTTTTCTTGGATGAATATTATCATATCAAAAGACTCGTTCGTATTCGTATTTCGTATCATACTCTTTTATTTTTAGGCTTATCTCTTGTCTTAAGACTAACTTGTACTTCGTCTCATATTCATCTTATATCGTATTGGTCATTAGACCAATTTGTATTTTATGTCGTGTTCATTTTAATCGTGTCAATTCGACCTAATTGTTTTTAATAATCTGAAAATCCTATGAGTTGAAAACAAAAACCCATCAAACCCTACAATCTTTGGACGACAGAGTAATCATGTGAAGGCTAACATCTCCTCTTGTGGCTAGATCACTTGGGTTAGTTATATCCCAAAGAGACAATTATCAGGTTTAGTAAAAAAAAAAAAAAAAAAAAAAAGGCGCCATATGAAAGCTAACCACAAGCTCGGTCACTTGACTAACGTTACTTCCAATATTGTAGGCTTACTGGTGAGTGGGTCACTACGACAAAGATTTGTAAAAGGTTCTAGACCAAAACAAATAGGCCAAGTTAAAAAAAAAAAAAAAAAGAAGGGGCGAAATTGAAGCCAAGGGGGCTGTCAAGAATCGTGTGGAGCGAAAATCCTAGACTATAGAATAAATAAATATATAAATGAAAGAAACAAGAAATCAAGTTGAAATGGGGATATTTATTGAAAGGTCCAAATACAGTGCATAAAGAAAATCTAAATCTCCAAGCCAGTCTGTAACTTTCATGGTGATGTGAGAACTTTTAAAAGCAGAGGACAATTTAGTCAAGCAGCATGTTGCAATTAGATCAAGAATGTTCACACTGACCATCAAATACCAATTAAAATAAATCAATAATATCAGATTCTAGATTATTGACAAGTAAAACTTGCAAGTCACAATCACAAATTGCAAAGATCAAAAGGCATTGGATTGTCAAAACATTACCTATGCTACCTGCACGCTTGCTTGCCCGGAGATTGACCGAAACCAAACCCCGTCAGCTGTTACTGTCATAGATCACTTACCGATGAACAGTTCTTCTAAACACTAATAATTTCAATTGCCAACAGCGAAAATGAACAGCAATATATAAAGAGAGATGAGCTGAAATGAAATGAACTAGATTATGCATTGAGAATTTAAGTTTCAATATTCAATATATTACTGTATTTGTATACGAGTTCTGACAAAAGTAATTGAGTTTACAAACAGATGAGAGAATCCCTAGCTCTCGTATTCAGTGGTGATTGGGTCTGTCAGTGGAGATGCGGGACCATCCAGCCTTGTAAGAACTTCTGGTATTCCGGCAGTATCTCTTATTATCTGCATCAAAAATGAAAAGCTTTAGGCTATTGAACAGACTACAGTCTCAGTGCCAGCTGATAATTCTTCATACTAGACACTTAATTTGATATCAGTAATCATAAGGGTTATACATAAAACACATCTACCACCCTTAGAAAGAAGTTTAATAATCACGTTCCAAAATCAGACGTAATGAAGACTTGCCTCTTCAATAATATCATTTACGGGTATCTAAGGCTTTGATGTACTGCAGTTAAAGAAAAGAAAGGCACCCAAATTTATGAAAGGATACTATTCAAGGGTAAAAAGAAACTTTCGTCAGTCACAAATTTGTTACCTTGACAATTGCAATTTTCTATTAAATTACCAAGATTTCCTTTTTGTAATAATGACTAGTTTATTCAAATTTAAAAAAAAAATAAAAAATTAATGATAAAGTGGTCAAGCAGAAAAGTGATGCCATCCGTTATAACGGTAAAACAAAAAAATAACAGTCCCAGCATTAGGACCTCATTCTACTTCGAGTTTTCAGACAATTGGCTGGTATAGCTCTTCGGTAGAGAATAAAAAATTAAGTCTGGTGAACAAATTATTTGGAGACGAGGTAACTATAACAAGGATGAAAAATTTAGCATGATGGTGGTAGGTATACTGTATATTCGCAATACTCCCATCAAAATGTATAAGAGATTGAAAGAGCTTTTCTACACCACTATGTGAGAAAAAGCACCACCGGGATCAATGTGAAGGTATATTACAGTTAACTTGAAAAGCATGGGAGACTAATGGAGATAGCAAGGGTAAACCTGATTAACAATAGATGGCAATGGATGGGTTGAAAACTCAAAATGAGATGCAAATAGGACGAAAATTTTATATGGTGATTTCAAATCTAGGTGATGTCCCAAATGAACCTGAAATCAAACAGGCCTCTGGTCATATATCAGTTTTTGGCTTTCAGTTGCACAAGATAGAGTTCAAATCTTGAAAATAATGTATGTTATAAGTCTATGTCACTATTTACGTCAAAAGTGACATCCTCCAGATAATATTTTGAAGGCTATGAAGCGTATAAAAGTTATTCTATCGTGACATCCATGAAAATAAGAGAATAAACTGCCAAACTTACAAGTATCTCTTCATCAAGATAAGAAATCATGAACAGCCTCTGGAAAGATCCACCTGAAGGAGTAAAAGAATAGACTTAGACTAGATTCATCAGTCAAACTGAATTTAAATGTATAAGTAAATAAGTGCAACTACAGCATAATAGGATGTCATTCCAAAACTTCATTGTCTGTTCTATACTGAACTTTGACAAGCAAATATGAGGTGATTGCAAAGGGTGGTAGCCAGTGTCACAAATGACAATGAACTATTTCAACAGCATTGATCTAAGAAATTGCTCCTATAGCATCAGCATGGGAATGATTCCATTCATGATGATGAATTCCTAATTTAGATTTGTAAAAGAAACAAGAGTACAGTCTACAATGATCTGGCATACATGCATCTCACCTATCTATGGTTATTTTTTTATCAAGTTGGAAGGAATATAGTTGCCTTACTAGACATCTTAATATCAACACAATTACACCACTTAAGAGAAAATTTGAAGTAATATCCATATTCTATCCAGCTACCCAAAGACAGCCTAAGTACGATATCTAAATGACTGAATACAAGTGTTATAAGCTAGTAAGCAGAAATATAATCTAGCATCCATGAAAGTTATAAGGGGATCAGAATACTAAGATAAGATAAGATCAACATGTGTTCTCTTTCTCAAACATGAGTTGATTATTATTCAATGTGGTCAGTCCTGCTGATGGTATTAGTATACTTACCAAATTACTACAAACTATCAAGCACTACACAGCACGTATTTATCCAAAGGATCAATAACCCAGCAGATTTTTACAATATCAATATAGAAGGATGAAAATTAAAGACAATGAAATGCTTACTAAGAGGAATTCTTAGCCCGCTGTCCACCACATCTCTAATACTTCCAGGAAGCTGCTGAACTGTGCTAACTGCCTGATTAAATACACCTTTTAGCTGCTCTGGTAATGCTTCTTCAATTACTCTTGGTGATTCAAAAATCCCTTCAACATATTCTTCTTTCATTCTAAGTGGTCCCTCAACAGACAGCTTGCTGGAAAAAATAATTTTACTCTCTATCTGCATTCCACCAGAAGGCATCTCTCATCACACAAAAGTATGGTATAAGAACAATGTATTAAGTTGAGCCGAGCAAGTAAGCAGAATTTAAAACATAAAGCAAGCATCTTTAACAATTTATTTTATTACACATATGATTAAAGCTTCAAATGTATAAGTAAAGCCAGGCATAAATTATGGTATCAAACTTGACACAAAAATTTGAAGTGGGAGCATTCACTTCCTAATCAATTTGACTTACAGACATGAATTGTGTAGCAACTTGACTTCAAAATCTTAAGCCAAAATGTCATGGCCCAACTACTAGTGTGAAAATTCTTTACTACTCCTATTTTCTTTTGAGCCCAAACTCTTAAGCCAATCATCAAAAATAAAGTCCTTGTATATAAATGATATCCAACAACCTCATACAATTTGTTGGTGATTCAAGGAGTTGGAATCCTTGGCATCAAGACCCTATACACAGCCAGACACCATCTTGAGGCCACAAGCTTAAACCAATGCACCAGCCATATACCAAGTCCTTGTATATAAGTATTTCACTTATCTGTTGTGTTCTAATGTACAACTCACTTCATATTCTCACACATGCTCATTCAACATATCCAACGGATAGATTTCTTACAAGCAAAGCACATTTGAGTAATCATCCACATGAACAGCTGCTCTATGCGGAATTCAGTTTCTATTCTCACATATGCATATCTAACAAATGATAGCGTTGTTTCTCACATGCAAAGTACATTTGTGCAGTCATCTACATCAAGTACATGTAAAATGAGCTATAAAATACCGAGTTCAGCAGTTTCAAGTTAGCTGTAACTTTGCCATATCCGTCCTTAATCATAATATCCATTTTTGACAAATTTGCCAATGTTGGAGGAAATCTCCTGCAACAACACAATTATCACGACAGGGTTAGCTGACTGAATCAATTCAATCAAATTCTAAATATAAAGCACATTCACAATAGAAAAAGTTATAGTACATCAGACAAAAATTACTCACCCAAATATAGATCTAGCAGCAACTACTACCGGGCTACCAGACCCAAACCACTCGATATTCCATCGACCTTCAAGAAAGGGAGACCTGGAAAGCTATAAGAACAAATAAAAGTCTCATCCCAGAAATAGGAACATACAAAATAACTTAGTTTTGTTTAGGCACCTACGTTGTTGGCCTTGGCGACGGATTCAGCCGCTCAAGACTAGTTATCCTCTCATTCACATCAATCTGTTGCATATTTGTCGTTTTCCCAGTCACTAAGGCCTCAAAACCCCCGGAATCCCTAAACTAAATTCAACGAGTAATTAGTTTCACCTTTCAGATTTCCAACACAACATAGATAATCATTTCGCCCTCTCCTACACATTATAAAAGGGGTCAAAGTATGATACTGCGCTCGGTAACATTACCGGGCTGATTTTTAGGTTCCATGTAGCTATATTTCGATTTCATGTAACAATGTTTTTAATAAACAAAGAATATAAAAGTTAATATATTGAAAACTAAAAAAATGTTAACATTAGCTGAAATCTTCTTACACAGTAGCCAAAACAGAGCTTGTTGTAACCAAGAAAATAATCCAGTAATACCGGCCAGTACAAAAGCAGTTCCCATATATCACAAATTCTGAAATTTACTATCTTAGCGGAGCAAATATCCCGGTAACGTTACTTGTAACCATAAGAAATAATCTACTATCTACACACCCATAATTTACTCAGAACGGCACATTATTATACTTTTAGAAATGAATTTCTACATCAACTTTCAATCAAAAATCTTTTTTTTTTTTTTTTCATTAATTTTCTATTCAAAAAGCATTAATCAATTTAAATTAAAAAAAAAATCAAATCTTTAAAAATTTAACAGTGAGTGTATTTAGAGTTCACCTAGAATACAATTCAAGAACTGAAACTAAAAAACGGCCGCGTTTTAATAAGAAAAGAGAGGAGGAAATAGAAAACTGACAGCAAGGAGAAGCGATTCTTTAGCTGAGAGTCGTTCCATTTCCTTGGCGTAGGTGGCGGGAGCGCCCTGCACGGCCTGCTGGACCATTGCAGTGCACCGGAATTCGCGGCGCAATTTCCGGTCATTGTACGGAGACCGAATTGGTGTGACGAAGAGAGAAGTCGAAGTGATTGAAGAATAAGAAGAAGAAGATGAAAAATTGAAGTGAATTGTAGGGATTGCAGGGAGTAAGCACTGTAGAGAAAACGCCATTGAAATGCAGAAGGAAGAAGACAGAAAGAGAGAGGGAGAGAAATAGTCTGTTTTTGTGTGTGAGCTGAAACTGTTTTTGTTTTTTTATTTTATTTTAATAGAATTCTTGTTGCTTGCATTTGTCGTAATTTTCTCTTTATTATTATTATTTTTTTTGGTTAAAACACAATTTAATTACCAGATTATTAAAAGTTTTAAATTGATTTAATTTGTCATTTGAAATTAATTTAAAAATATATAATTAAATTTTATAATAATTTTTAAGAGTGATCTGAATTTTTAAAAAAATCAAGTAAATATATTTAATATTTAAAATTTTAATCAAACATGTTTATTTTTCAAATTTTAAATGCCTTTTATTTTATTATCTGAAAATTGAAAAAAAAATATAAGGTACTATTTGAAAGAGTTTTTTTTATTTAAAGAATAATTTTTAAAGATAAAAAGAAATCATGAATTTGGAAGTAAAAATCGAAAAAAGAAGGAGCGTATTCTAAATGTCTTCTAAACTATCTATTTCAATATTATAATGAATGTGCATATTCATCTATTACACGTAATTTTTTATTTTTTTTTATTTTTTTTTTTGTGATCGGAGGTGTTTGGATTAGTTTCTGCGTACCTCAACTAATCTTTCGGGGGCCTTAGTGATTCCTTATGGCTCTAAAGTTGGCAGCCAGGTAAATCCCCTCAATGACTAGCACGCACCTCAACTAATCCTTCGGGGCCATGAAGTTCCTAAATGACCAGCACGCACCTCTATTTCAATATTATAATGAATGTGTATATTCATCTATTACACGTAATTTTATTTATTTTATTTTATTTTATTTTATTTTTTTTTTTTTGTGATCGGAGGTGATCAGACTAGTTTCTGCGCACCCTAATTAATCTCTTGGGACGCTTCGTTAATGGTCTGTATATTCATCTATTGCACATAATTTTTTCTTTTTTTTGGTGATTGAGGGTGCTTAGGCCAATTTGCGCGTATCTCAACTAATCCCTTGGGACCCTGAAGTTGACAGCCACGGAACGGGTAAATCCCCTTAGTGCTCTCTCGTGGCTCTGAAGTTGACAGTCAGGTAAATCCCCTCAATGACCAGCACGCACCTTAACTAATCCCTCGGAGCCATGAAGTTAACAGCCAGGAAACGGGTAAATCCCCTCAGTGATCTCTCATGGCCTTGAAGTTGACAACTAGGTAAATCCCCTCAATGACCACCCCTATTAACAATCTAGGTGGATCGAACTTAGAACCTCTTGAATAATATATCCAAGAGTTCTAATTGACTGTTGAGCCACCTAATGGTGGTTTATTACACGTAAATTTGTTTCGTTGAAAGAAGTTGTCCATTAGTAGGGTTGTAAACGAGCCGAGCTGAGTCGAGTTTTCGACTTATTGAGCTCGAGCCTGTCGAGTCAGAGAAAAGGGACTCGAACTCGAGCTCAATCGAGTTCGATCGAGTTCGAGTCGACTCAATTGACTCAACTTCATCTTCATCATCTGCATATCTTTATCTTCATCATCTTCATCTTCATCATTTTCTTCGTCTTTATCTCCATCATCTTCATCTTGTAGAACATCACGATTTACACTGCTTCCATCTCCATCTTCTTCGTCTTCATCTTCAACACAAACTTATTTTGATTTTGATTTTTGATTATGAATATTTGCAAGAACAAATTTAGGGGTTAGGGTTTTTTGATTTGGGAAATCTAATTTGGGGGTTTAATTTTTTGTTTTAGAACTAATTAAATTGGGGGGTTAAATGTCATTTTTATAAATTTTTAAAACTAAAGAATAAAGATAACACTTTAGTCCCCACAGTTTATAAAATATAACAAATGGAACCTTGCTTAGCCGAGTCACATCAGGTTCGTGAGCCTACGAGCCGAGCCTCCCCACGTTCGAACTCGGCTTTTTTTATATAGCGAGCTCGAGTCGAGTTGACTCGGCTAATCATGAGCAGAGTCATAAACGAGCTTTAGATGAGCTGAGTCGAGCCGACTCGCAAGCCGCTCGGCTCGTCTAACAGCCTTATCCATTAGTTCTAATTTTCATTTTGTAATAGTAGTGAAAAATAACATGTGGGTTGTGGGCTCTTAGATGATCAAGCCAATTCAATTTGGTGGGTGTGTTGGGTCTTGCACTTCCAATTTTTTTTTTCTTTTTTTAGGCAATAAATTAAATTAAGTATATTTAATTTCAAAATTAATTGGATTTCTGAGAAAAATTAAACCCAAAATAAAGGAGGAAATTGTTTATTTATGTAAGATTATAATTTTAAGTAATGCCTTCTTAATAATTTTTTTTGGAAAAGATTTTAGAATCCAAACATATAATCTTAATTTTTTGTTTCTTTTCTTTGCGACATGATTTTAACGATAATAACCATTTTTTTATTATTTGTTGAATTTAGATTTGAGATAACCATTCACACACATTGTAATTTTATCGAGTTGACTAGGGAATAACACGTTATGTTGGTACAGAACTCTGCACTAACCAACGAGATTCAATCGATCTTGCTAGGATCAGAACCGATGTGTGCGTGATTAGTGATAATCAGCGATGAATACGAATGAAATGAACTAAAAACAAAGAGATTTTTAAAGTGGTTTGGCGAGGTTAACAACTTACGTCCACTGTGTTTTTGTATTTGCTGTGAGAGCTTACAATGCAATTCTTATCTGAAATTCGTGACCCCCTCTTTATTGTCTGAAGGGGTTTATATACAAGATTTGTACAAAGAAAGAAACGAAATTAAGGGGATTACAATTGATTCGTATCACAATTCTGATATCCTCGCGATTGGGCGCTATGATTGCGCAGTGATAATTGTTGATCCAGTCATTCTCGCAATATTTGGGATCTGAACTAATCTGGGGATTGATTGAATGATTCTTCAAATTGTTCGCGACTAGCTCAGGCTAGTTCGAGCTACAGCTTGATGAGCTTATGCTAGGTCGATCAATCATAGTTGTCGAGCACATTCTGGGTCGATCTATATCCTCGAGTTGACCCGAGCTTGGCGGAAAAACCACACACAACATCTGCCCCCTAGTGTTCGCTGCTCGTTTCAGGCTTCGAAGACTATTGCTCGATTTGATGCCAAGCTCGGCGTCAACAGTGAGTCTCCGAGTGCGTGTTCGACTGGGCCTCCATGATCGACTTGTTAGTAAGTGATCAGGTTCGCGCAACGGAAAAAAAATCGTAATATTAAAACGAAAAAGATCACTTACACGAACCAAGATCTAAGTATAGATTATAACGTTTTTCATGCATAAACTAAAATGTAAAATAAAATATATATAAAAACAAATCCATACAAGAATTTAGTTCATACCCACGTTTGGAGACTCTTCCGAATATCTCTGACTTCGCTCACAAACATTGTTCATAGCACTGTTCATCGACACTGTTCACCGGCTACTGTTCATTGATACTATTCACCGAATATTGTTTATCGACACTGTTCACCGTATTTCTTCCCTAGTCGATCCAATGTAGGATCGCACTCACGGAAATCCACACGAAGATAATCTGAAGAACCAACAATTGTTTTGCTATAACAATTGCCAGCTTCAAGAATCAAAAGACAATCAAAAGAAAAAGAAAATTTTCTTTTGCACTCAAAGAGTGATAACGTGAGAGTGAGAGTAAAAGGGTGGCTAGAGTTTTTTTTATTGAATGAATGAATTATGTTTTTAATTTTAAGTTGCACTTATATAATGCAACAATTAAAAACCCTATTCCACTTAGGAATAGTTATGGGCTCCAACCCTAATTCACCCTTGCAACCAAACACCCCTTTAATTGGTATTTTAAATTTTAATTAATGATTATTATAATTAAAATCAATTAATATATATAATAATATATTAACATTTAATTAACAATAATAATCCATTTAAATATATGCGCACATATATTTAAATATAATCTCACTAATTTTTAATTTTAATATAAAATACAGGCAACAACCTCAGCAAATTTAATTGCACTGTGAGATTACCAAAATACTATTTCGTCCTAAAAGACGAAAATACCCCATTCACAAAAACGATTCTTAAATTATCTTCTAAGTGTGTGACTTGTAGGCTCCTTATCATATCGGCAGTGAGTAGTATCACAATTAACTCCAATTAACCGTCTCACTACACATAGACCAAGATTTGCCCCTAGCAAGGCATCATGGCCAACCGATAGATTCGAATTCAGCAAAATCGCAGCCTGTCAGCGATATGGTTACTGTGCAATCAAATCCTTTCATCATTTGTTATCTCATCGAGGCTGAGGTACAGAAATAGTGTCAACCTCAATTATCCTTGATATCTTTGCATTCAGTTACTGGACCAATGACCGGAATAATAAATTGGATTAAGCAACAACTCAATCCCACTGTGGCCACAACTTTAGTTTCATTGCCATTCACTGAATTGCGTTGTGAGATAACTTCCCCCGTACCCGGGAGTGATAAATCCTTTGTCGATCCACCATAGTCTTGATACACTCCTTGATATAGCCAATCACTACGGTATTGATAGCTTTGAGTAAAACTACGTTGGGCTAGTGTCTAACTACACCAATCGGTGTACAAGGCTCTCTGGTGATCTCAAGTCTAAGGATCACATGCACCACCATTCGTTAGAGGATTTATTCCATAGACACTAGGGTTACCATCTATATGGAATCCTCTGGTGGGTATGTCCAGTGAACTCGCCTACAACAAGCACCCATGTGTCGCATCAGGTTTTCGGAAAACAACTTTGACAAGTGAGATCAGTTACTATCTTTCGACAAGGTCGTTCAACACTGTGATAGCCTTACCGTATTATCTATGTCCGTAGTCAGAATAATACTGAGGCTACAGACATTTCTAGGATGACCACCATATGTTTGAAAGATGGAACACATGGAGAATGATGCATGTGATACTATAACATGTATATTCATATTTTGCAAAAAATTTCAATCAAATTGAAAACAAGTAAGGTATAACTTGTTACCTTAAGTCCTTAGCAACCTTGGAGACTTTTAATTTCAAGAGAAATTAAACAAAAGAGTATCCACACTAAGGTAAAAGA